TGTGTGTGTGTGTGTGTGTGTGTGTGTGTGTGTGTGTGTGTGTGTGTGTGTGTGTGAAACGTTTTTTATTTTTATTTAAATGGCTCAAAAGGATTTATTCTATTGTCAGATGCGCATTTTTTGCATTTTGATCACACTCCTATGCAGGTGGAAATGCCACTACCAATATGGCGGAGGCGCTGACGTATTATTTCCCTTCGGGCTGTACCCTCCATCTGACGTCTCCTTGTTGTCCAGCTCAGCCAATGAGAAGCGGGCGCCTCTGTCACCTTAATGCGCATGTCCTGTGACGCAGCACGTGGTTAGTGAAGCACGTAGCAGAGGCAAAGCAGCGTTGCAGAAATGGCGGCGGGCGACGGTAGCCTCCCGCAGCAGCTCCCTTGCGTTTTTTCACCTAAATCGCGGCAGTACTTAGCGGTGTGTGCCCAGGACGGCAGACTCCGCGTCTGGAACACCGACAGTAAAACTCTTCAGCAGGAGTTTGTGCCTTCAGCCCATTTAAGCGCTACTTGTACCTGCATAGCATGGGGACCATGCCGGACGGTGAAGGTAGGAGACACCGCTGCTAGCTGCTTCAGCTAGCCAGGCCTACAACACTTAAAATACTCTTATCAAACGTTTCAAATGAGAATAAGAATTCACATGCAGGTTAAATAAAACGAATTAAATGAAGTATGCTGGCTCTGCTGTTATTCCACACAGTTTTTATTTGCCTTAAATGGAGCAAAGCAGCTTCTCTCCGTTAGCTGCCTGGACGCACATGTTTCCCCACATGGTGCTTATGAAAATATCTACAGCGATTTGTGTAACTATTTTATCTTTAAGTGCTTCAAACGTTGATTTGACTAAAACAAGCATCCGCTTTTATTCCGTGTCTGACATTAAAGGTTTATAAACCCTTTATTTGAGTTATTAGCCCGATGTGCTTCAAACGTTTGAAACATTAAAACGCAGAAACTACTATTTCAGATAAAATCCTGTAAAACTTAAGCTTAGATCAATAACAACACTCTGAATGAAAGTTTATAATCTGCTGATGATCAGTGTTTATAACTCCAGCAAAGCTGTCAGCTCTCATATTTAGAAGCAGCAGTGTTTAGTTGATCAACCCTTTATATCACCAACTTTGGGACATTGTTTCATTTGAGCATTTTGTAAACGCTAAAAAATCACTTTTTAATTATTAGGGGAAAAAAAGACTAATTTGTGCCAATTTTTTTTAGTTTTTATCAAATATATGAATAAAATTATGAATATAATTTTAATATGTATGAGCTCTAGATGTATTGATGGAAGCAGAATAGCTCAGTTTACCTTAATAAGTGAAATAACACGCAGCTGTCATTTTGCACATCTCTGATGTTGCTGCTATTTTAAAATATCCATTACTGTAAAAAACATAGTTGTAGTTTGGTAATTTATTCTCTAGATGGACAGTTTTAGTCATTGTTACAAGTTTCTGTA